TATTTTGGAGAATGGTCATTTGATTCAAGCTCTGTGGTGACCCTGAGCATTGACTGGCATTTGAGTAGCGAGTGTGTGGGTTGTGGTTATGACTAATAACCCAAAGAGCGTTCTTGTTGTTACTGTTCCAATGTAACAGGTCATTGGAAGCAGTGAAATTCCATGTTGATATGAAGGGCCAGCAATCTCTGCTGGCACTCTGTTCATGTGTGTTAATTCATGCTGCTGTGTGAATGTGTAAAATTTGGGTTAAATAGTCAAATGTGAGAGAAAATGAAGACTGCCTGCCTAGATTTGGTTTTTAGCCTGCATGTACAATGATAATATAAAGTACAGGGTGGGTTTTTGAGCTTGATCTCTGCAAGGCATCCTTGCAGGGGCTGAAAAGGACCTTCCAGGCCAACTAGTTCATTCTTCCTTTCTCAGGTCTCAAGTAAATTTAAAGCTGGAGTGATGCCAGAACTCACCTCCTGTTCAGGACCTGGTATGCCTGTGATGGAAGGTGAAATTGAAAGAAATTAATCTGCCCTCTTCCCCCTCCCCATGTCTGGCAATTGAATTTTGACCCAGGTGTGAATATGTAATTCATTTTCTTTTCAATGACTGTCAGTTGAATTTTAGGAAGTTTGTTATTTAATAGGTGTGATAGGATATCTTCAGATAAAGTCAAATGAATAAGCCACTCCTTTCTGTTTCTGCACCTCTGAGGCCACATTCATTATAAACTCTGTCTACTGGGTCAGCCCAGCTCTAGTAGTTGAAACCTCAGGGTCTGTGCTTTGTTTCTCTGATGGCAGGGCTCAGCAAATAAGGGATAGGAAGCAGTGCAATCTGGCTGTTGGGCATCTTTTGTTACTGTGAGCCAGCCCTCATCAGGTCCTTTTGGGGAGCTGTCTCATAACAGGCTTCAGTGGAGAGTTAAAGGGTGCATGTATCTTGGGATGGGAGTAAAAATGTAAAAAGTCACAGATAATCCTACAATCCATTATCTTTTATTTCTTTCAGAAAACAGAATCTTTGGCTTTCATACTACAGAGCCCACACAAGCCCTGGGAAAGTTTTGCGAGGGATGGAAGTCTAACTGCAGTGGCTTTTCTAAATTAAAATGTAACTGATATTGTGCCCTGTTCTGGGTTTTACAGGCTAGTGATCTGAACTTCCCTATGTGGCAAATAGATTTAAATAACAATTAAGAGTTCTAAGACACCTAGATGAACATAATATGGGGGGTGGGAGGGTAAACCAGCATGGCTTTTCTAAGGGAAAACTGTGTCTCTGTAATCTGTTAGTGTTCAACACAATAAAGCATTTTCAGTTACGTTATTGGCTGAGCGAAATGAGACCTAACACAACTCTGGTATTGCCCTGTTTGTCTGAAGGTGATAATTTTTGGAGACCGTATGCAATCTGTTCCAGAACTTCAGGGAGTGTTCCTGGCATCAGTGGAAAGAATCTATTATTCTTTTTTGGTGGTGATCAGAAAACCAGAAAAGCCTGATTCCACTGAAAGCAGGTGTAGTTGTGATCTCAGCTGCATCTCAGCCAATCACACTGGGGAGCTGGGTGCTGAGAAAAGGGAGACTAGAGGAGTGTTTTTCAAACAGCGGGTTGCGACTCAGTATTGGGTTGCAGAATGTAAGGCACTGGGTCGCGGCAGCTCTGGTCAGCTCCGCCTACCGGGCCGTTAAAAGTCCCATTGGCAGTGCTGTCCGGCTAAGGCAGGCTAGTCCCTACCTGTTCTGATGCTGCGCTGCGCCCCGGAAGCGGCCAGCAGAAGGTCCAGCTCCTAGGCAGTGGGGGGGAATGGAGCTCCGCATGCTGCCCCTGCCCTGAGCACTGGCTCCACTCTCCCATTGGCTGGTTTCCGGCCAATGGGAGCTAGGGTGGGCAGTGCCTGCGGCGAGAGCTGCACAAAACCGCTTGCGTGCCTCCACCTAGGAGCTGGACCAGCTGCTGGCCGCTTCCGGGGTGCAGCGTGGTCCACGGTGCCAGGACAGGCAGGAAGCCTGCCTTAACACCCCCTCTGCACCACTGACTGGGAGCCGCCCGAGGTAACCCCGCACCCAGTACCCTGCTCTGAGCCCCCCCATACTGGAGCCTCTTCCTGCGCTCCAAACCCCTCATCTCAGGGCCCACCTCAGAGCCTGCACCCAGAGCCCTGACCCCCTCTCACACTCCAACCCCCTGCCCCAGCCCAGAGCCCCTTCCCACACCCTGAGCCCCTTATTCCTGGACCCACCCCAGAGCCCTCACCCCCGCACCCAAACCCTCTGCCCCACCCATCACCCCCAGCTCTGTTGGGTCGTAGGCATCAACAATTTTCTTCAACTGGTCTCCAGAAAAAAAGTTTGAAAACCACTGGAATAGAGGGAGCGGGGTGCCCAGCATTGGAGGGCTGGGAAGGTGCGACACAAGGTTGGGGTAGAGCTAGTTGGAGATTTTCCTATGGAATGTTTTCTGTCAGAAAATGCTGGTTCATCCAAATCAACCTGTTCTGTGGGTATATGCCGATTTCAGCAGAACTTCACTTGAAATTATATAGGTTGGCTGATCCTGCCTGTCCTCCCTCCATCCATCCAACCTACCAGCCGGGACCTGTTGGTATGGGCCATGAGTTTGGCGTACAGAAGCAGTGAAGTGTATGAGTCTCTAGTTCGTTTAAATTTTCAAAAAGTGTTTGACAGAGTCCTGGGAAAATGGCTACTAAGGAAATTAAGTAGTCACAGGGTCAAAGTTAAGGGTCTGTTGTGAATTGACTAAGGAACAAAGAGTAGAAATAATTGATCAGTTTTCAGGATGGAAAAAGGTTTGAGGGGCTACAAATATCCATGTTTAATATAGTTATCAATGATCTACAAAAAGCAGGAGAGGTGAGCAATGAGGTGGCAAAATTTGAAGAGGCCATAAAATTATTTAGAATAGCCAACAGTGGAGAAGGTCGAAGACCAAAGCTAGGCAGATTGGTGCACAAGGACAGATGAAATTCACTCGTGACAAATGCAAGTTAACATGCATTGGAAGGAATAATTTGTACTATCATGTTACTGGGTGCTAAATTAGCAGTAAGATCTCAGGCATTGTGGACAGCTCTTTAAAATCCTCTCTTTTTGTGTATTGGTGGTGGTTAAAAAGGGAACAGACTGTTACAGGGAATAAAGCATGTGATAGAAAACATTATAATCCCATCCCATTCTATTCTGTGCAAACCCATTTATTAACAAATCTATAGGATGCCCTCGCCTGAAATGTGTGTTCATCTTTGGTCACCCTAGCTTAAAAGAAAGCGGTAACAGGAGAAGAAAGGACCCAGAGACAGGTAGTAAACAAGATTCAAGGACTGTGGTATGAGGAAATATATTGAGAAGATAGACTGTTTTTAGGTCTTTTATCATTATTTTAAATACCTCATTATTAGGTGTATCATTACTTTAAATACCTCTACTGAGATAGAGGTATTTACTTTAAATACCTCTACTGAGATAGAGGTATTTAAAATAATGCACAGTGCAAAGGAGATGCATCGGGCACTCCTAATCACCAATTCTTATAGGAGAGCAAAGTGTTATTCAAATTGACAATCAACATACTTAAAACCAATAAGAGGAAATGCTTCCTTTGCACAATGTGCAGTTATTGTGGAACTCACTGCCACAAGATATTAAATCCTGTGATTTTTTTTGGACTCAATAAAGTCATTTAATACATAAATAATGAAAACGTTTACAATCATAGAAATGTTGATCTGGAGGGGACCTTAAGAGGTCATCTAGTCAACTCCCCCATGCTGAGGCAGGATCAAGTATACTTAGTCCATCTCTGAAGGTGTATGTCTAACCTGTTCTTAAATACCTCCACTGTTGGTAGCCTGTTTCAATGCTTAACTGTACTTACCTTTGGAAAGTTTTCCTGACATCTAACCGAAATCTCCATTACTGCAAACTGAGCTGATTACTGCTTGCCCTACCTTCTGTTCATATAGAGGAGAGCTGATCACCATCCTCATTCTAACAGTCCGTAACGACTTTGAAGACTGTTATCATCTCTGCCTTCATTCTTCTTTTCTCTAGTCTAAACTTGCCTATTCTTTCAACCATTCCTCAAAGGTCAGGTTTTCTAAATCTTTTATCATTTTTGTAGCTCTCCTTGGGACTCTTTCCAGTTTCTTGACTGCTTTCTTAAAATATGGTACCTAAAACTGGACAGAGTACTCCAGGTGAGGCCTCACTAGTGTTGTGCAGAACAGAACAGTTACTTCCTGTATCTTGCATAGGATGCTCCTGATAATACACTACATTGAATTACATACAGTTACGTCAGACAGGAAAAAAATACAAGGGCTGTAAACTCTCATGACTGAAGGGCATAAGTCTAATGATGAAGGTTAGGAAGAAATTTCCTTTATGGGGAGCTTACTACATAAGTATCCATGATGGGGTTTCTAGCTCCTTCCTAACTGGCCACTGTTGCTGACAGTATATGGAACTAGCAATATGTACCTTCATGTATGTAGAGCCCTACTGTAAACCAGGAGTGGCAGAAGGCCCCTAAAAGTTGGGGAGAGGCATTAGCACCTGAGCCACAGCCCTGCCCCCATGCTGCCCCTTCCCCCGAGGCTCCCCCCCCACCTCTTCACCCACTCGCTCCTCTCCGTCCCTCCCCCCTGTTGCTTGCCCTTACGGCTGTTAAAAAGTAGGAGGGCATTGCCTCCTGGTCCCCTCTGCTGTAAACCCCTACAAACAGAGCGCTACTGAGTAATGAAACTTCTGTTGAGTTACTGAGAGAAGCAAGAGTTTCATCTTCTATAGGCCAGGCATGTCCCCTCCCTTCGTGGTCAGTGCTGCAGCTGGTTTGTTTTGATTCCAGTTCTCTCTGTGTCCTGTACTTTGATTGATCACAAAGTATTCAGTGAACTGTGTTCCTTTTTCTTTGCTGCTGTTTTAAATTTGTAAGTGGTTATGTTGCACAGACCTTATAATAATCTCTCTATTAACCCTTTCCAGCCCACGACCTTCCCCAGAACAAGACCTCAGCTGCGGCGCAGACTGGCAGCCATTTGCAATGCCTCTCAGTCCACTGCACGGATGACATGGGCGAGTCGAAGGGCCGGACTGCGGTGCCGACATGGAGATCCCTGCACTCAGACATCTCCAACAGATTTGGGACTTTTGTGGCTGCCCTGACTTGAACAAAAGGACATTATTTTTTTTCTCTTTTTAATTTTAAAGGGCCGCTACTGCTAGGTGGACTATTTTTCTAGGTTGGTACCTGCTTAGTGGCATATGGACTGGAAAGGGTTAATTTAAAGTAAACCTCAATTTTTTTAATCTTCTGCCACAGTATGTTACCAGTGTTAACCCTTTTGCAGTTAGCACACTTTTGCTTAAGATTTTCCTGCTAGATCATTTTCCCCTTTATTCTGTAATCTTGGCATACATTTGTAGATGAGGCCTTTTCCTTTTTCATCTCAATGTATGTCCAAGTAGTGTGTGTCATAATGAGGCAAAAATACTTCTCCTTTTTCTTTCGTTTTTTCTTTTTTCCTTTTTTTCCCCCTTGCTTTGTTCAATGCTTATTAAAATGGAAATCCTGAAGAATAGCAGTTCAGGAATAAATGCCGGTTGAAGTGAAATTGTCATCATAATATTATATATTGACACCAAGCTTTCGTCAGTCACATACAAACCAAACAATTAATGCTCTATTAAGTATTCAGCCTGTGATTTTTGTCTTTCCTGAGATCATTTATTTTTTTGTTACCAAGAATACATTCAGCCTTCATCTCTTGCTGTTAAGTGGAAACAACTATTCAGTTTATTTGCTGACTTCAAGCCCAGATATAGTTATATGCTGAACAATAGGGCTTGTAGCAGTGAAGTCTGGTTGACCAAACATGTTTAAAAAAAATTGAAACTGCCAATTAAAGCGTTTTAATCCCTTCTCCACCAAGGACCAAGGTTTGAGTGGAATTCCTCACACCTTTCTTCTATTACTGGGGAGTACAGACCACCTCCAGGACACAGCATATATCTAAAGTTCCCACATCTTTAATTTTCCTTCCAGAAGAAGGGAAGTTTAAGTACCACATTATCTCTGTAACTGTTGAAGCAGGGGCTTCTTTTAAGGAAAATCACATACCAAACCCCCGTTGTACTGTGCTTTTCCTGTGGAACAACTTCCTGGTTACATGAATGTAAGAAAACTCTGATTCCTTGACATGAGGAACTCCCCTGTGCTAGGCTAAATTTAAATCAGCCATTCAGCTATTACTTAGGCCATGTGTACACTACCACTTACGTCGCTCAGATGTGTGGAAAAAGAACACACCCCTGGATGACATAAGTTTTGCCAGCATAAGTGACAGTGTGCACAGCGCTATGTTGGTGGGAGAACTTCCCTTGCAGACATCGTTACCGCTGCTCGTTGGGGATGGTTTAGTTCTGTTGACGGGAGAGCTCTCTACCGTCAGCATAGAGTAGCTATGTGGGAGATCTTACAGTGGCACAGATAAGGGTTGCTACCTTTCTAATTGCTGGTAACTGGACCCTTCTCTGCCTCTTCCCTGCCCAAGATACCTTCCCCCATTGCTCGCTGGATCATCTCCACCTCCCACCCCACCCACCAGCTAGGCTCCCTCTGCTCTGGGGCTGGAACGGGAGCTGCTGCAGCCTGACAAGAAGCCTGCCTGCAGGTAGGAGGCGGCCCTGGCTGAGCAGGGGCTTGCATGGGTTAATGACTCGGCGCCTCCCCATGGTAACTGGACTTTTGGTGTCTGGTCACTACATCTTACTGGATGCTGCCAGGTCCCTTTTCAGCCAGACTTTCCGGGTGAAAGCCAGGCACCTAGCAAACAGACACAGAAGTCGATCACTGGATTGCTGGTTGGCAACCCTAGTGCAGTTGCATCAGGACAGCTGTTCCACCGTAAGCTCTCTAGTGTAGACGTAGCCGCTTAAGTTTACCCAGGGAGTCACAAGTCGGCCCTGAAGCAAAGGCGTCACTTTCTGGTTAAAGAAAAAGGCCCCTCAGAGTGCTGGTAACGTTTTTAGTATAGCTGCTTGTGCCATTACTCGAAGTGCCACCCTTTAATGTATGTCACTGAAAACATTGAATGTGTGAGACCAGGCATTTTCAGGAGTGGAACCAAGCATGAAGCTGGGAAATTTGGTACATATCAGTACATACTGGTGGGTATCCTTTTCATTCTAGCCAGTTCCCACATTTGTGCACCTGTATGTCAGAGATTAGCGTTCTCTAAACTGCCAGGCTGCTGGTGCGGCCTAACTTGGATCCCATAATTCCTGTTGGTAAAGACAGTTTCTGTTCGCATTTGTGTCCTGTTTGAAGGACAGTATTATTAGATACATACAATAAAAGGAAACCATTCTTTCCTGCCCTTCACAGATAATACTCATCAGGGCAGAAAGCTGGAAACAAATGAGCTAAAAATGAAAAAATGATCGCACACTGGTGTGGTTTTACATTTGTGTAGCCTCTGCTTACAGTAAGACTAAACGGTCCCACCCTTGTTCAGACATGCTCAATCCAGTGGTGCTGGAACAGTTTTTATAGTGGGGGTGCTGAAGGTGAAAACCATATATTTGGGGTGTTGTTACTATTTCAAGACAGGGTGTGGCAGCACCTCTACTTCCAGCACCCTCCGCTCAGTCTCCTCCACTCCTCTGCGGTCAGTAAGAGCACTGGAGGATTAGATCATAGCTGTGAAATGCAGGACTGGTACGCCGTGATTATTTATCCCTCGTTTCGTGGATTGACAGTGTGCCCCTTTTTGAGAGCTGGTGTTTGGAGGACTGTCTTGAACTTGTCTTGGATGGTCGCATTGGGCCATTGGTTTTAAAGCAGAGTTCTGTATCGACACCACTGGGGAGGGAATTGTGCTTAAAAACTCACGGTACAGTGTGGCCCTGAAATCTTTCAATTGTGCTGTTTCAAAACTCACAGCATTTTAAATAAAAAGAAAAGGAGTACTTGTGGCACCTTAATAAATTGGTTAGTCTCTAAGGTGCCACAAGTACTCCTTTTCTTTTTGCGAATACAGACTAACACGGCTGTTACTCTGAAACCTAACATTTTAAATGAAGTTACAGATGGTATTTAACTTGTCACACTCTCCCTGCTCTCTTATTTGGAACAAGCTCTCCTTGGCCTTATGTGGATTTATTTTCCTGCTGTGTCACTGCTCACTGACTTGACTTGGGTTAGTTTTTTTTAAACTAGGAAATTTATAAGGGTCACTGAGTTTTAGTTGGTCTTTGTTTCAGAATTTAAAAAACATCCCTGATTTTGAGACGCTTTTAATCTTTTTTTAAAAAAAGATTGTTTTGATGCTGGAATGGTGACTGGAATATGGAGCTCACTTGTATTCCCGGGCCTAGAACAAAAAGGCATGACACTTGGCCGGATCCAGGTGAAAGGCTCAAATCTTCTGCCCTTCACCTGCTCTAAATAACATCGTCTGAGGGAATATATCTCCTGGTGTAACAATCGTTACCCAGACTCACTTTGGAGAACATGCCCCAACCCAAGAAAGCACAGTTTCTTAAGTCCCAGTTCAGCAGAGTACTTATGTGCTTAATTTTAAATGGAAGTAATTCCATCTCTCGTCATCCAAGCACTTAAGCATGTGCTTTCCCTGAGGCACGTGTTTCTCTTGTTAGCTTTCATGGAATTTAAACCAAGTTTTAAAAAAAGAGTAGGAGAGGGGAGGAAACTTGGTTCTGTCTCTAGAGCTGCCCATTTATTTATCAAACCTGTCTAGACATGCTACAGGATCTGTTTAGCCTTTTTGGTAGCTTTGTTCCATCCACGTCTCCCTGACTTGTAAATGGCTTATTCTCACCTTAACTGAGGGACAGAATGCCAGCTGTCTAATAGTAATTATTGAAGTGATACCAGTACGTTGCAATGGGATTTCAGGGCGTCTGTTTGCAAAATTCTGATGGAATAAGGTGTATGCAATTACCAACCAGGTCAATGTTTATTACTAAGCTTTTATTACCTGTGATAAGTTTTCTGTCCAGCTTCTCCATTGATTTGATAAGTGCACTGATTTTTTTAAACATATACAAAATATCAGCAAAGCACTAGATTATCAAAAAGATTTAGTTTCTGGAATAATGATACTCGTCTTCATTTTAGGAATGCTTTGAGAGCTACAGATGAAAAATACTGAGAGAGCTAAAGTATCACTAGATCTCCATTTTACAGGTCAGGAAATGGAGCTGGGGAAGGGGGGAGTGACTTGAGATGAGTCCCAGAGCTGGGACTGTAACACTGGTCTCCTGACTCCCTCCTAGTTCAGTGGCATACACATTGGCCTATCTGCTTCTTCAGTATAATTTTAAAACTACTGCCTTTGAGGACAGTCTAGTCCAATAAGTAATGAAATTCAATGAATTGCAAGTGCTGCGAAAATGACTGCATAAAGCCAAAAAAAAAAGTTTAAAGTGCATCTGCATATTTTAAAAGACTTCATGGTGGTGAAAACACGGCACTAAAAAGCCAGTAGTTTTATGGTAAATATGCATTTAACATGTGTACAAGCTTCATTTTGTATTGCAAACAGCAGCTTAAAATAATATGGCTTCATACTGGTACTGCAGAGTCCACTTTGACCCGCCTGGCATTTTCAGTTGCTGTACACAGGCATGTAGTCTAGGCAGCAGTCTAAGCAGCATTTTAGAAATTAAATCTTTTAGTTCTTACCCCTCGAGGGTAAATTTCTCCCTGCACAGTGTTTGCTGACTTTTTTTGTGTGTGTTAAAAGAAATTTCATACTTACACTTCGAGTGTCAGCATAGCAGCATGTTGAGCAAAATATCGTTTGTTTAAGTTATGGGGAATGATAATTCATCTTTGTCAAAAAAGAATGAATAGGCCTTATTTATTAAATGCTCTTTGGGAGTTTTCCCCAGGGCATGTTCTCATAGGGTTAATATTTCTCCGTCACTGTAGTTCAGTTGTTAGCTCATCAGTGACAGGAGTTTAGATTCATTTTCATTTAATTAAGGTGAATTTCAGCAAATGTGTAATGATTCCAGGATTAATGTGGTATGGTGGGTGGAAAAGAAATAAAAATGAAAATTTCGTCATCTATTTCGTTTAGCGAACTCCTTCTAATGCTGCATTTAGAGATGGCTGTTCTAAGGCTAGTTAACCTTTCCAACCAGGAAATCAGTTTGAAGGCTTTCTGGCACAACACTACGGCTAAATGTTCATTAACTCCTTAATGAAGAGCTGTGTAATATGACCACAAATCTATCTGCTGTAGAGCAAGTCATGTTTGCTCTAATACTAAGAAGAAATAGAATTGGTAAATTTGATTTTTTTTAAAGCTGCAGTGTATCCTTTTCTTGAATTCTAGATTCACAGCTGTTCAGTGGATGGGGTATAAGAGCTTAATCCATTGTTATAGAATTGTTTCTCCTTTATTGCTTAAGGCTAATGGAGGAAGTAGTCTAATTTTGTCTTAGAATTTTTCTATTAAAATTGTTGGTTTGAGTCCATCCATTCATAGATTTTGACTGATGAAACTGCAGGCTGTGAATTCCGGCAGTTATAACTTTATCACTATTCACTACTCAAGAATATTACAGCTTTAAAACAGCCTTAAGCAAAAGGATGTTATTTCTTTGTACTAAATTTGGTTCATGGATAAGAAAAAAAAATAACACTGGTAATCCGTACTGCATAGCAAACTCTTCTGAAAAATGTTATTGCACATGTAAAATATGAAAATTTGACTCTGCTGTGTGTTAGGCAATCCTGTAATCTTTTTTTTCTCTCTTGTTAAATTCATTTCTTAAATGCTTGGTTGGAAGACTGTGACAATAGCTCATGAAATTGAGTGTTATTTTTCTTTCTTTTTTTAAATATGTAAAGTGCAGTCTTCTGTATTCATGCATATTGTATATATCTGTATATGTTTTACTGAGCAACTAAATAACAATAAATATGATGTTAATGGTGGCTATTGTATATTTTATACCATGTTTTAAAATTATTTGAATAAAGTCTTTCCTGAGATTCTTGGGAATAGTGAAATGATGCAGTTCAGACATTGTGAGAGTGAAATCTTTGCCCTGTTGAAGTCATTTGAAGTTTTGCCATTGACTTCATTGGAGCTAGGATTTCCCCCTGCCTGCCAGGTACCTCTTTGTTTTTTTAGGGTGAAACTTGCTCCCATGTGGAGGCAGGACTAGATGGTGCTGAGACCACGTGCTGCTCTCTGCACAGGGGTGAATTTCCTCCTTGGTGAGTCTTGCTACACTTGACAGAATGCACAGCAAGTTTCCTTCTGTTCACATACTAAAGTTCCCTTCTTTTATTCTTCAGCAAGATGTCAGTGCAAATAAATTCTTGTTACAGTTCCTTAGCCAAATCTTGTGCTTCTATTGCAATTCTAAGGATCTTTGATTCTTTTATATCTGACCTTTGTCATATTGGACATACAATTTAGCACAGGTTAGGGCTAAATTGGACGATTATATCTTAGGAAAGTGTTTTTAACCTTTATAATATCTTTCCTGATGTCTCAGGGAGTATTCTTTGGCTGGAGCACACTGACAAGCATGGCATAGACTACTAAATCCACGGTAAAGGTGACTGGTACTGGAAAGAAATATACATTTTAGTAATATCGGGGTGATCAAGTCTTATCTTCCCTGTTTTCCAAGGGCTTCTTGGAGGGCCAGAGAACTGAAGTTCTCTGAGTCAGAGGAGCAGGCGTGTTGAATTTTTCACAAACTGAGCTTTTTCTCCCAAGTGTTTGTCAGGATTTTGAGTGAAATCGGTGGGAGCAAAAAGCAAGACAGACCAGAATTCTAAACATATGATCAAAATCTCTTCTCCTATCAGTTGTTCGGGTTTCAAACACTTTTATGCTACCATATTCCTATTAGTCTTCCAAAGAGTTCTCCAGCAAAAACGGAGAAGTGAATACCTGGTATTTTCTAATGTGGAAAATGAGAAAAAACCCAAGCAACCCCCATAAACATATATTTGGGTGAGGAACAACTTTTTACATCTTTATACTCCTAGCAAAGCAACACCAAAAAAATGTGCAACCAAATTGTTTTTCATTTGGGAGTTCCTTTTAAGAGTAAAAAGAAAAGGAGTACTTGTGGCACCTTAGAGACTAACCAATTTATTTGAGCATGAGCTTTCGTGAGCTACAGCTCACTTCATCAGATGTTTACCATGGAAACTGCCAACCAATTTATTTGAGCATGAGCTTTCGTGAGCTACAGCTCACTTCATCAGATGATGAAGTGAGCTGTAGCTCACGAAAGCTCATGCTCAAATAAATTGGTTAGTCTCTAAGGTGCCACAAGTACTCCTTTTCTTTTTGCGAATACAGACTAACACGGCTGTTCCTCTGAAACCTTTTAAGAGTGACATTTGGATGATGCTGGAGACAACTCTGCAATTTTCTCCAATTAACAGCTTAAAAACTCAGAATTGCACTTTTTGGTGAGCAAGTCTGACAGGAGGAACCAGCTATTGTGAGCTACTATGCCTATGTCTTACCAGCATCTCTTTATGCTTCATTAGGTAACTAGTAACTCAGACATAATGCATCTGAGTATCAGTATAACTAAACTACCAACATAGTGTGTCCCACAGAAGGCCCTGTATATTTTTCAAGGCCCTCTGTTGTTTTCTTTAAACCAAAGTCCTGCTGAAAATGCAAGAGCCTCAGCTCAAGTAGAATAGAAAAATCAAAAATTGTTTTGAGACTCTCTTTAAGCCAGTGTAGTGAGACTGCTTTACTTCCTTTTGAAATCTTGATTGAGTCACTAAATGGGTAAAGAACAGTGGATCATATATACATGTAATTTACCTGCAAAGATATGTGATCATCTCTCACTGAATTGCTTAGATCCAGGGATCAACAGGGAGGGGAATATTTTAATCTTGATCTGTGAAGACCTCACTATCTTTACAATACTGCATTGTTTTAAACTGGTAATAATGCTTTAAATAGTTTGTAACTCTGATCTCTTAAAAAATCTTTGTTAGCTTTTATTTTTTGAAACCCTGTTGAGGTGTGAATTTTAATGGTCTTCATGATTCTATGGACTCATACTTCTTGCCATGAAAAGTACTGTTGAGTACAAGACTGGAGGTCTAGGGAAAACATGCAAAATGGTAAGATGAAAAGCACACCTTTTATTTTCATGGTTTTATTAAGATTTTCGTTAATGTGGTTTTAATTTTCTGGCTCATCTGCAATCTTGAGAGAGAACTCTAGGCAAACTTCCTGGATTTTCTGGAGTTCTTTCCTTAAAGATGAAATGAACATAGGATGAAATACATCATCTTCTACTACCTACATCTTCTCCACAGAACCAGATTTAAAAGGTGGATCTGCGGAGCTGCTAGTGCTCCTTTTTTCTCTGAAGTCCTTGCTCCATATAGTCGTAGGTTCTAAGACCATCTGGGCTCGTCTGGGTGTGGGGTTTAATCCGCAGATTTTCAAGTTAATCTGCTTTGAAAAAATTTGTGTACGCATGAGGCAGTTCCTTGTAGTTCTGACTCTGTGTATATTGTGAATTCTGGAATCCTTTTTCAAGGTGAGCTAACTTGGTTGTGAAATGAGTTAGTTTGGTCTATTGTTCGTGGGTACTCCATGCTGCTGCACACTGCGTTGGCAGTCGTCCAACAGCTATCCCACGCTGCTTTGCGGGTGACTGTTACAGACCTGTCTGTTTATCTGGCTGACCTCCCCTGCTCTGGGGTCAAGTTGACTGGGTGGCCTCTCCCCATTTATAAGCTGGTGCATGCCCAGGTTTTTTTCAGTTGCCCCTAGGTTCCACTTTCTAGCAATACCTGCAATAATATTCCAGAGGCCCTACAACATGCCTTAAGCAGCCAGCTGGTGCTTTGCTGGCACCCTGGATCTCTGGGAAGAAGTCTCAGTGTAGGAAGCTCTTGAGATCAGTTAAAGGGCTTTTTGTGGATAGTGCTAGGCAGATGTCTGCCATGCTCACAATGCTGAACACTAAGGAGATCTCCTAGATCCGAGTGTTCAGATCTTCTGAACACCCCCTCCTGCCCAAGAGAGCTTGAAGAGCTTGCTTCTTGCTTTTCCCACTCTCTCTAAGGAGGAGCAGCAAGAGTTTCCTCAGGATGAGCACCAAGAGACCAGTGAAGAGATCTCCCAGGAAAGCCAGGTTCTATTTGGGGACTTACGATCCTGATGCCAGTCAGGCAGAAGGCAAGTCTGATTCCCAGGCAGCAACCCAGACCAGGACTGAGGAAGCAGATCCTATAGCATGAACCTTGGCATGTTTTTATTTACTAGTTGAGTTTAACTTCTTATTGCACTGCACTGCTAGCTTCTCTTCTGGGTGCTGTATGGCCACAGGCAGTGCAGTCGGATGTGAGTCAGAAGCATTTCCAAGTCTGAGGTCCCTGCCTCCATCCATCAGCCCATGCTATCTGTTTGCCGCTCTCCTCCCCGGACATCTTTCCAAATTGCGGCTACTGCAGTTGGGCAAGTGGCCTCCATCTCACTCTAAAGCCCCCGGCCACTGGTTATTTTCAAGCCCAAACCGCAAAAGTAGGTGGGCCATCCTTCTGGTTTCAAGCCGAACGGTTTGTTTTTTGTACAGTTTATCCCATCCGATACTGACAAAATGGGATGTGGTTTTGTCAGTACAATGCATGGAGGGCACCATTCTGCCAAGTGCTCTGCTCTGCCTGGACACTGTCACCTCAAGGCCAGGCTGGCAAGGGCAGGACCGCATGCTCTGCAGAACGGTGTCCTGCATGCAGCATGATCTCACATGCATGGGTCATGCCTGCAGGCAGTTGGGCCGCACAGGCAGGGGCAGGAACAACCAAGGGGCTGTTGTCCTGTATTCTGGGGATGTCAGTGCCCACCCTACCCAGAAGGCACATGCCTGTATACCTATTTTCCTTTCCTCAACCCTCAGCTGTCCTTCCCAGTGAGCAGCCATCCCCCCAGTTTAGCCCACAACTCCCTTCAACTCTTGCAGCACTTCTGGGGAGACCATCTTGGGGGATGACTTCACAGCATATCTCGCTGGTCTGCCTTTTACCTTTTTGAGTAAGGCCATTCTCAGCCTCCTAGTCGCCTGCCTTACTGTAATGGCACCTTAGAGCCAGGAGAGTCTAAAGGGGATGCAGAGAGGATTACGTCCAGCTCACCCCAGATTCACTCAGCTACCCCTCAGACACCGTATAGGCACCTCCAAGCAAACCTGCAATGCCAGACTAGGAACTTAATTCCCAACTGTTTCCCCCCCTCAGCCTCCAACACACAACAGCCGTGTCATCTGGCACGTACTACATGGTCAGAAATCCCAGCGCACACACCAGTGATCATCTCTAAGGTTCCCCCAATACTGGGAAGTTTCTCAGGGAGGTAAAGCCAGAAATACTTGTTAAAAAATTGCTATGGGAGCCTCCCTGCAATATAAACAACAACCACTTGTCATTTTTCAAAATACCCCAGCAGTTATGGCACTTGCACTGGTCAGGCCCTTAAGGAGATGGCCCTTCTCCACAGCCGAGCGTCTGGGACACCTGAAGGGGAGAAAATGGAAAACTGAGGATGAAATGTTCATGGCCATTGTTACAGAGTGCCAACTCCCCCACTCCTCCAAAAATAATACGGAGAGGTGCAGGGAGTATCAGGGGAAATCTGAGGAGGAGCTTTCTAGGGAGATTGTTGTGGGGGCTGAGGACAGCATGGCGGTTGCCAGGGACTCACTGTTGCCATGGTCAAAGACAATATGGAAAAAGACCGGGAGTTACGGAGACAACTCCCTGAGGCAATGTAAAGTCAAAATGCCCTGCTGCAGCACAGTACTGCAAACCAGCACCCAGCCTTGTTCTGCAGCCTCTGGACAACTCAGGCTCCTGGGAACAACTCCTCTCCTTGCAGTACCCTTGCAGCGGTGCACTCGGAGACCACTCTCCCCTCCCAGACCCCAACTCAG